AGCTGAGCTGAGCCCAGAGGTCCCCCAGGCTTCCAGAGCAGCAGATTCTCACCTTGCAGGATAATGCATAAGTAGTTCCATGAATGCTGCATGTGTGCATGGGGGCAATGACTGATCAGCAATAGTAATTTTTTTTTCCAGGAAAGCCTTATCTGAGATGTAAGTAGGCAATTATTTTGTAGGGCCTGTAGGAATATATTTTATGTACATGAATAGAAAGACTTACCTCAAAAATATCAAGAGAAAGGCAGTTCGATAAGGAATCCTCTTGTTAGAGACCTACCTTGACATCTAGCACAAGCAGTCTCAGCTGCCAGCCTGACCGACGTTTGCGTGTGTGTTGCTGTAACGTTTGCGATGAGACTCCAGAGAGCAGAGATGTGCTCAGTTTTTGGGTTTTTTTTGAAAGCTGAATTTTTTCAAACCAAATGCAACGAGTGCATAGAGCTTAACAGGAAGAAAAAACCAACAAAAAAGCCAACAAAAAAGTACCTTCTTGTATATTAGCGTTAGCTTAGAAAATAGGCACCAAAATGGCAATACTTTTTTAAGGCAAGACAGATTTGTAATATATTTGTTCACTGTGCAAAGGTATTCTACCTTGTACAAAATAAATTGAATTTCTCTCAGTGTGTATTTCTCCAACATACTCATTTGCAGACTAAAACTTCCAGCCCGTGTTCAGGTCTGAGTTCTCCAGGTGATGGGGCTGGTCACGAAGGGCGAAGTCCCCTCAACGACAAAACCCCACAGGCACCAGGCTCACAAGCCAGAAGTTGCAGGATTTCTCAGAAAACACAATGCTGTAATTTGGAGTTAATTTAAAATGAGGCCCAACTTTACAACAAAACGTAACCGGCTCCGTACGTGCCTTACAACGCCTTCGGTAGCTCTCGTTCCCCAGCAGTTTAACCTTAGTGGGTCTGAGCGAGAGACCCCGGTGCCGCACAAACCCGTCCGCGCTCCCACACACCTACGAAGAGCCGTCCGGGGCGAGTGCCGACACCAGGTCTCTGATTTTCACGCGATGCATTTCAGCGTGCGCGGTGACGGCGCTCGGTGACGCTGGTGGGTTGCTGTGCCTTCAGGTGCGCGCTGGAGGATACGGGCCAGCACCGCTACTGCTGCACCCAGCAATGACGGGACAGGACACGCGGCAGCGGTCGCAGCAGGTCTGACGGAGCTCCCAGGGAGCCCAATCGATAAATCACGAGCCCAGACTTGCAGCAGAAACACCTTCAGAACTAATGACTCCCAGGCAAGGCAGCGGACTGCTACAAGTTGAAGCTTTTTCAATATTTGTGCTTCATATTTCTAAAAATCCTGTTAACTAAAGCCCAGCATGTAATCTTATTTGACAAGCCCAGCTCAATAAGCTATTTAAGTCTGGAAATTCATCAGGTTTGAACTGATAGAATAAGTAATCCTAGCTTAATAAAAATGTATTAAAATCAGAACAATTCCATGTCCTTTCTGCTTAAGAGTCAGCACCTCAACTCCCACCAAACACAAGAACCACTGATGCTCGCTGAACAGCTTCCTAATTGTTAAAGTTGGGACTTTGAAATATGTAAATGACAGCAAAAGCTTTTGGCAAATAAAGCCAATTTTGCAGCATTATACTGAGTTCCCAGAAACTCAGACAGCTCATTTTGGGGCCCCAGAGCTGTATCTGTTATCGTCAGTTGTCTCCTATTAGCAGAGAAGAGACTCTTCAGTCCAGAAGCAATGCCAACTGCAGAAGGGAATGATAAATCAGCAGCCGAACGGGAACAGGACCCCGCCAGGTCGGCATCCAGACAGAATAACGTCTTGCATTGTGTCTCCCAAAGCACCTTCCTGTCCCAGCCCATGCCAGCCAGGATCCGCTGCCGCAGCACTGCGGCGCTTAAGTCAGGAAAAAGCAGTACAAAGGCACAGAACGAGGCAAAGGCTTTAATAGGTAAGAAGTTACATCTCCGCACGTACACCATTTGATGTCGCTTTCAAAGTCGATGCCTTGTGAAGGCTTTACAAACTATTGCATGAAAATTGTGTTCCGTGTTGCAGCAGTTCCTAAGTACAGAATCCGGTTTTGCACAGCATTTCTAAGGCTTGTTTTATGATTACTAAAGTTCTGGTGGGGAAAAAAAAAAAAAAAATCCAAAGAGAATTGTTTGTCTAACAGCACACGCAGCCATTTCACAGCTGCCCAGGACACAAGCACAGCCCTGTTTGCTGCGAGGCGAAGGAAGAAGCACGTGCACACACGCAAACTCCGCGTAGGGCAGGGGCGGCCTCGGCCCCCGGCAGCGATTTGTGCTCCCACGGGCTTCATCCCGTTTGCTGTCGCTGCAGAAGAAAGCGCCTTGCACAAACCCATGCGAAATCCAAAGCTGACGTGAGAGCTGAGTCAAGCTGCCTGCTTACGTGAATCGGAAAAGGAAGCGAAGTGAAACTCATCCTGCATTTCCAGTTGACAAATTTAGAACTTGGCTGCCCCGGTAATTTGGTTAATTCCAAAATATGCTCCAGTCTGGCCAGAGAAAGTGCTGTGAGAACAGCTCCCCAGCTCCCGCAGGAAGCCAGGGCCCAGTCTTGCACCCCCTCAGCTTCTCCTGCAGTACTGAAAGGCCCTAAATTGACTTTTTTCCCCCCGCCGTGCTGTCCCTCGTGCCCTGCGGGCGACTGCTGCCTGCAGCAAGGACACCATGCACAGCCCTCGCGGGCAGTCTGGCTCCTGCGCACCAAGCTGGGATGAAAAAGCTGGAGCTACTTGCTGGAGAAGGCAGTCACCCCACAAGCTTTTCCTATTGGTGGCAATGTGGGGAAAAAAACAGGTTTGTAAAAGCCATTCAGTGCGTAAAAGCTTCCTGAAGCTACCAAACTGTCACAACTATGAACTGCAGCAGGCCCAAAAAGCTGAAGGCCTGGTCTGAGTGAAGGTGGCAACTGCATTACTTGACCCTTTCAGTTCTTTTCCGGGAGTATTTCCACTTCGGCATCTTCTCACAGCCTGCTCCAAGAAGCCAAGAAGCTTCCAGTAAGTAAAAGCCTTCAGGGCAGACCCCAGTTTTCCCAAGAAGCGCACCCAACACCATACTGAGTCGTCCCCTGTAATTCTTTATTAGAATCATGGATGAATATATTTTAAATCAATTTAAAAAAATAATGAATCAAGGTACAATACATGCATAAAATACAAAGTAATTTACAAACAGATCAAAATAGCATCTTCAGAACTAATACTAGGAGGAGAAATGGATTTAAAAAAACCAAGTGACCGACTACAGCAATGCCTTCCGTGTGCCTTACACATCATGAGCACCGCAAGACAGAAAGGTTGGGTACGAAACGCAGCTGGTAGTGCCTACCCAGATTTGGATGTCCCAAGTGGGTCATATCAGAGTTTGAGAAATGTTTCCTACGATCAATTACTTCCCTGTAATTGTATAAATAACCGCAGGCATTTATACAACAAACAGTTCTTTTTAAATACTGTAGAAACTCAGTGCCGTAGCCCCCAAATCTCAATATTAATGACGTGTTTGGGATATGCAGTGGTTTCAGAGTGCAGTGACAGAAGGCACAGTTCATGTATCCCTGAACAAGCTAATCGAACAGATGATTTGTACGGAGCGACAGACCACAGAAAGAAGGCAGCCAGTAAGAAAATTACTCCAGATGTTTTTGTTAAAGGAACATATACCAAACCACTGGAATAATTTAAAAATACCAGATGAAACAGAGCTGAAAACTAGGACCAGCTTGTGGAAGTTATTGATTCATCAACCCAAGCATCTGAATATATTAATATACGTGGCATGTATTAGTAAGTGTGATACATAGTACGCGACACCACCTTTCAAGTCTGTGTACCACGAAAGAAAAACGGCACCCTCAAACCCTGATACCACCAGCACTGTGGAAGCCAAGTCTCAGGCAGCACAAAAACACGCTGCAAGTTCCAGCGTTAGAGTGACCCTTCATTGTTACGCAGCTCGTGCTTTTGCTTTCTTCGCTAGAGGCACCTCATATGGAGTCCTGCCGGCTTCTCGCCGGCCGGCTTCCCATCACAACCTCCGCTGCAGCAGGTGCCAAACCACAAAAGCTCATTCACAGGTAGCAAGAACTCTGCTGCTTGTTCGCAAGAAATTCTTTTCTCCCCCATAATATTCTATAACAAAATCCTCAATTTGACAATCTGAAGATGTAGCCAAAAAACATTTAACTTACATTAAAATTGCACTTCAGAGCAACGGGCATTTCATCAAGCTTTAGATGCAGTATACAACACCTTAAGACAAGGAAATATTATCCTGCCCAGAGACATTTTCCTAGTTAACCTGACAGTAATTGTTTTGCGAGGAGCAGAATAACGTCTTCAAGTGCTCACTAAAGGTGTCCGTGCTCTGACTAGCGGGCATCATGTTGGAAAGATCAGTTCAGTTCCAAACAATTTACTGAACCAAAACCGACAAGTCGGTGTTGGGAAAATACTGCAGCCACATAGAAGCAATAGATTTATAAACACCAAAATCAAAGTGTTTAAGACATGGAGAAATTCAGAAGGAATAAGCAGTAACTAAACACAAGAAAGAAACCACAAGAATTACAAATATATTTAAATCTTGGACCTGGGGAATATACACAGCCTTTTAGGAAAGAATGAACAATTCTATATATTCTGACAGCACTGCATCTTTGGTTTGTTTTCAGTGGTTGGAGGGACGTGAATGGGAACCACATTGTTGCTTGGAGACATATCGTTTTCACGTCTGTCGGACATTTGCTTCTGGGAAACAATACGGTAGATCTCTAGAAGATGAGAAAGAGCTAGTCATTACGCGTACACCAGCAATACACCATCAGAAAAGTTCAGCCTGGGGGAAAGCAGGCAGAAAATATATAAAGATTTCCCATAGTTTTGGAAATATATAGGTAATGCACAGAAGTGTTCACAGGACGTTTAACTGCGATGCTTTCTACATTCAGAAAATAAAATATTTGTATTTTTTGCAAAATAAATTAATTTTTAAACAACTGTTTTACTCCCCTTGGGATAAGAGTTAGTAGATGGACAGAATTCACCAATTTTTTTTTGCTAGGAATCAGAAACTATGTACCCCATCAATTCCTTCTGATAGTTCCTAAGGTTCTGAGGACAGTGCTTGTGAGTTTGCTGATGGATCCGCAGACAGCAGCAGGATTAAGAAGAACCACTCAACATTTCTGTCTCTGATAGGACTGCAAGGGCAATTTCTTCTCTCTCAGCACACCTATCACGTACAATAGCTTGTCTATCATCCAAGTGGTTTTAAATTGTCAGAAACTGTTGAATATTGGGGTCCAAAAGGGGAGACCCATCCCTTAACCAGCACACAAACCCTTTACAAAATGTCCTGCGTTAGCGTAGCTAAACTTCAAAACTAGAGAAGAAATAGGAACTCCAGATGAAGAAATTCCAGCATAAATCAGAGGGCATGGTTTAAACTCCCGTGCCTGCCTTCCCCAGCCTGCTGCCAAGTTGGGAATGCTGCTCACCTGCACTGAAAGCCTCCCCCGGTTTCCTGGGATCTGTTAGCGGCTGATGGCATGGGCTGTACATAAACTCAGAATAGCTACAAAAGCATTTACTTCAGCTGCACAGAAGAAAGAGTAAAACATGTGTAGCACTTCACCCCCAGAAAGGAAATAAAGGATACCAAAAATAGAACATGGGGAACTCGCTTGCAAATTTGCGTTTTAAACCATGAAAGTTTTTTTTTTAAAACAAACAAAAAAAAAGCTTGCTAAACCTCAGTTTAACAAGAGTTTGAAAATGTTTCCAATTCAGGAAAAAGCCGACCCTGAAATGACAACATCACATCATCTGCTTTGCACAACAGAAAAGCGTGCTGGCAACAAATCCGCCAGCACTGCCAAGCAGCAGAGCCCTAGAGGAGCGAGCTGATGCCCGCACCCAATTTGCACGCTCCAGCTCACTGCCCTAAGGTTTCCGATAAGCCCAGGCTGCAGAAGATGAGGGTGTCTGCACTGCACTCCTCCTGCAGAGCAAAGCAGAGGAAAAGAAACCCCGCATCTCGCAAACAACTCTGGCGAAACAAAACAAAGGTCCAAGTTCTTTTGGAGGTCTGAAGTCTCTTATCAGCTAGATAATGACTGCCCAAACACACACCTTGCCTGACCCCAATACCAAGATAGGTCTTTTCTACCAGAAATTTGTCATTAGTGAGTAGCCTTTGTTCAGAATTTTAATGAGCTGCTGCTTAGTGCACATCCTGACATCATTTCAGTACTGGAAATTGAGCAGCCTTGGGCAGAGAGGTCCTCTTTGCTGCCAAGGGCTCATCACACAGCTAAGCTTTTACGACAACGGGAAGAGATGGCATTGAGGAGCTAAAAAGGGTCCCTGACAAACAAGGCTTGAAAACCTCGCCCTTGATGGAACAAGCCTGCACAGATTTAAGCTGCCAATACAAACAGAGGCCGAGTGCTCCCCAAGACAAGTAAGAGCAGGGGCGCATCCACGGTACTGCTGGCAAAATAACAATCTCTCACGCAGATACTGTGCTGATCTATGGACTGTAGAAGTAACATTGACCTTTGCAAGTGGCACTTTGAAAGAATCTGCCTGTTGGGCCTCCAAACTGACAGCTCAGGCTCAGATAGGGATAAACTGTTCAGAAAAATGGATTTTACATACGCATTCAGTTACAGATCAAGTCACTGAGGCAACTAAACAAGAGCTGCACAGATAAAAGGATTTTCTGATTTCACCCTTTCTCAAGTTCACTCTTCTTTGCAACAGTCCTACACAAACAACTTCACAAGTTAAGTGAATCCCATGAAACCAGATCTTTAAAGCCACCTGCAACCCTGTGTGGGAATTTGCAGATAAAGATCAGCTTTGCCCGGTGGCAGGCCACTCAGCAATATTCAGCAGAGGGCCTGGGCGCAGAGGTGGGAGGAGTACAGCTGGGAGAGATCTGCTCTGCATTCCTCAGGACAAGTTTTCTGCTCCACTACCCTGCCCCAGCTCATGGTAGACAGCCAGTTTACATCCCAGTGCAGAATGCCGCCTGTTCCTATTCAACAGAAGGCTCTTGCCACCTTCCTTACTGGAAACTCTCTAGTAGCACCTTCAGCTGCTCTCAGTTTTCCAGAGAGCTTCCTGAACAAGTCATACTCGTCCGTAACACAAGCTGTCACACGCTTCCTCCACCCCTGTAAGCAAGGACTGGCAACCAAGGTGCCCTCTGCGTAACACCCTCATCCTACAGCGAAGATCTTCAGTAAACAGCCCTGAAGCCTTAAAACCAATCTTAGCAGCATTGATTTCTCTGCCAATAAAGGGTCTATCCCTTCTGACTCCGGGAACGTATTTCCATGATCCCCACTTCCACGGCCTCCCCAGCAGTCCTGCAAGGATGTTTAGCAGCTGTGCTGCTTGAATCAACTCGCAGCAGCCCCGAGTTTGTTGCTCTCTGATGCTTCTCCCTCCTCTGCAGTACAAACCTTCGTGCAGCCACAGCGTACTGCCCTAGATGAAAGCCAAAATGGCTAAAACCAGCCTTTCCCTGGATCACAGCTGCACGCTCTTTCCCCACACACAGCTGGGCTGGTGTGAAAGGGGTGGTGGGAAGAGCTTAGAACTGCTCTCACTGGGGCAAAATGCCCAGCGGCAAAGCCTACACTGAAACTGGGCTGCACTGAGGAATGCCAGGCTAATGAAGCCATGTGCTTTTTAATGAAGACACTACACTTCATGCTCTGCTCAGTAACTGAATGAGACCTTATTAAGAGCACATTCAGCAGAATGCATCACTGCATAATTGGTAACTGCATGAGACAGGCCTTGCACTGTAAGAGGGCTGGGAAAAAGTGACACGGCTGCCTAGGAGGAGCTTGTCCAGGCCTTGTCTGCTTAGCCTGCACTACTGTTTCATTCATTTTCAGGTGTACAGAGCTAACAAAAAAGGAAATCCCTAGATTTTTTTACATTAATGCTCTGCGATGTTGTTTCCTTGGAGATGGGATTCCTTAGAGATGAAACCGCAGCAGAATGCGGTATGGGAACAGAGACAGCACAGAGCTGGGCAGGGAATGGAGGCAGACTCCAGTTTAAGGAAGCTTTATCCTGCTCAGAGTGGATAGGATTATAATCCCGGTCTCTCTTATTTGCCAGATGATACAAAGCAGCTTTGTGTGCACAACAATCAGCCCTTGAAGTCTAGACATCTTGCAACAGAATAATTTGGAGAGGGACCATTACTCTAAGCCACAGAAGGAAAAGGTCCCCAAAACCTCATTTGGAATCCACAGCAGGACAGGGAGCCTACAAGACTGAAGATATACCTCCCTCAAAAAATCCTCTATAATATAGGGAGAGGAAAGAAAAGCTTTCTTCCCCTTCTTCCACCTGTAATAGCAGATCACAGACTCACTTAGGCTGTACTAATTATAATGGAGTCCTATTTCCCATGCCCAAAGCCATCTATTCGGAGTGGCTTAATCTGAGAATCTAGGCGTGGAGAAGCTTAACACAGACCCTGCTATGCCTCCAAGGAAAGTACTCTTCCAAATTTCCAAAACCATCCCAACCAGACCAGCTTCAGCAGGGCTGGAGAAGAAAGGAGTTTTGCTACAGACCTTAGTCATGACACCCTGTTCAGGAGAGATCTAAGCAGCTGTGTGAAAGGCATCAGGAGCAGCCTGGGATGTGTCTGCGGTGCAGTTCCCAGCGCTGCAAATACTAGCAGAGCTGGTGCAGCAGCATGCCCTGCCTCTTCTTCTGTCAGCCACCTCCGCTCGCAGCCTGTGGCAAAGCCTGGCTTTACCTGCTTCCTTCTTCAAAGGCCAGTAAGCATTCCACCCGCAGGCACTATGCCTGGAGGCAGGCTTGCCAAGTACAGACTACCCATGATTGTGCAGGGTCACTCTGAAAGCCACATTCCTCAGATGACTGCTCCCCTCTTTCCTTCAAAGCAAATCATTAACAGAAAAAGCCAGCTGTGAAGTGTTATTGAGAAGTTTATTGGCAGAACATTCCTCCTTAGCATGCCAGTCACAGCCAAGATGGAGCCAACCTACTGCTAATGCATTATTTACTTCATCTTTATCTCCCTGAAACAGGAGCTCCTGTCTGGAGCGAGCCACATGCCCACTAATCAGCAGGTTTCTTCCAGCACAGATGAACCAAGCCCTCCTGAACAAGGATCCTGTCTGCATACCCAAGAGCTCTTTACCCAAAACACTGTCACAGCAACATGCAGGGAACACTGACATTTGTGGAAAAGCAACAGCTTCAACAATCTGTCAGAATCCACCAGGGCAAGTTTTAATTACTTGTTCTCCCATGCCAGACTGCTCTCCCTTACAGAAAAATTCAACCAGAGAAAAAAAAAAAATCAAACCTCCACAAATTAGAATCCAAAATAACTTCTGGAATAAAAGGTACTGTTGAAAGCATGAGAAGAGAGATAAAGAAGCAGCCTAGCCTGTGCCCAAGAGGTGAACTGCTTCCCCATGGCAACGGCAGTATATCATCTGAACGTCACACCGCTCTGTGGAAGCCCGGGGCATGCAGGAAACTTTCCACCTCTTCAGCTGCCACTGTTAGAGAACAGAACAGTCCAACAGGCCATGAGAGCCATTAGCTGACCAGTTTATATTGGCTATGACAGCCTGACAGCCACCTTGGGAGGGGATAAACAATGTCTGATATATTTCCAGTTCTGTTCTATTAGTACTGGTGCTGAACAAGTATGAAAGTTAATTAACTAGCCTTCATCTGAGAGCCCTGATCCCCTCTGAAAACTGAAAGCGCAGGCAGCAAGGCTGTTCTACATTACACACAGCACATTAGGCCAGAATCTGACCTCAAAGTTCAGTCTAGGTGCTCCTGAGAGGAGAGGGACTACCAAAGACACGTGCATAAAGGAAGAGGTCTTGAGTTGTAGCAGTTACAACTAAGCAATAAAAGATGTCTGTCTTCTGAAAAATCCATGCCCAAATTCATCAGCATTTTTGACAGGACTGCCTTTAGGTAGATGAAAACAACAGGAAATCCAACAAGCATCCCAGATACCATCACGTTCAGCCACTCCTTAGCCGTCCACCCTCTGACGGCATTCGTAGTTAGTCATGTAGGGCGTAAATGTATAAACTAACACAAGTTCTCTCTTTTTCCTTTTTTTTTTTTTTTTAATTTGTGCAAGGTTGAATTACAACCAAATGACAACACTGAAGTTAAAAGGGAACCACACGGTTTGGCTGAAGAGAAAACAAACTCATGACAAGCATTACTACGCACTAGGTAGTCATCTAACACTGACTCCTTTTTTTGCTAGTATAGGGACAGGAGCACTACTGCTTAGGAACCCCTGTAAAACAAAAAATAGAACCACAACCTATCGGAGGCCTCTTACAACTAAGGGTAAGACAAGAAACAGATGGACGCAGGCTGATAATACTCTAGCGGCCTAATAATTGTCTCCACTGCTAGAGTGTTCATAAAGCATTTCAAACCCCTCAAGAAAATGGTACAGAATTTTTATTTTTGTTACAGTAAATAACTTTCTAACTGCCTCCTCACCTGCATGTTCCAGTATGGCTAAGAAGTCCTTTTTGGTGCTTTTAAAAGACTAAATCAGCTGGTAAAGAGAAAAAAAAAAATCTAACTAGGTGCCAATGTCACAGCAGTGAGATCTGATTAACAGAGACACGTAGCTTACAAGTGGGGCTGCTGCTCATACTAAGCACATCAGATGTTACAGTGGGAAGGAAAGAGTTTAAATTTGCAACTGGGAAACATTTTGGAGACACTCTGAGAAAACAGAGACTGCCTAGGACACCTAGAACAGAGAGACATACCAAAACAGAGCAGACTCTCAGATGTTTTGAAAACCCAGACTAGAGATTTAGAGAGGCGTTTGCCAAAGCTGAGAATGACGAAAGCTCAAAAACCACATGCGCCTCTGTTGTCCCACTATGTCCTGGCTACAGCTGATGGGGTACACAGCAATACAGAAGTCCCATGACAGCTAATGATTTCCACACCAATTTATAAATTCCTACCCTATCCTTTATAAGCCATGGTTAAGTTAAGGTGTCCCCCCCATAGTCGGAGTTGAATGTCTCAGACCCTTAACAAGTTTTGCCTATCTAAAAAAGGGTTTTTAAAAAAAAAAAAGGAAGTACTTTATCCAGAGAGCATAAAAACCACAGCACTCACTGCCATCACGTTACAGAGGCTGAAGGTCCAGCCAGGACTATTAAATGCAATGACAGGGACTACCCTGCAGCTCAGGAGTCACTATGTCTCAGACTACCAGTACTGTTCAAAAGAAGGATCTTTACTCTTTCATCCCTTTTCTCTTGGCAACTGCTATGGTCACCATTAAAAATGGAAACAAGCGAGATTAACTTCTCCTCTGATAAACAATGGCTGTTCTAACTTGATGCTTGCATGAGACAATTCTCTCCTGTGGGCACTCCCTACACCATACACACATGGGAAACTGAAACATAAACTAGGCTGACTAGAAATCCAGGGCAGATCAAAGTGAAAAGGATTCATTCCTGAATCCAAGGCTGGCCTTTCAACTGTTACACTTCGAAACTGGACTCCAAATCTTACGGCTGTAAAGAATGATTAAACAGCAAAATTTTAAATGCTTTATAGGCAAAGAAATGCCTATCTGCATCATATCTGAGCAGCCTTCTGCCCTTCCCCCTCGAAACACAAAGCACTAGATGACTCACCTGTCAGAATAGTCTGGAAAGCTGCTTCCACATTTGTAGAGTCTAAAGCAGATGTCTCGATAAATGACAAACCATTCTTCTCTGTGTGGACAGAAATACTATAATTAGAGGGGTACATCACATATCTGTTTCCCATCGGGAAGAACTTCTGTACCAGATTATATTTGTGGTGTTCCTGATGAGATGCACATGTATCAAGAGAAAGTATAAAAAGTTGTGGGTTTTTCCCCCCCTTACGTGATCTGAAAGCAACACTACCCAACACTAACATTAGAATTTACACTGATCCTCAAGCACAGGGATCAGTTCAGTGCTGCGTTGCAGTGATGCAGGAAGATGTGCCTCAAAGTAAGTGAGAATTTGTTGCGCTTTCAAGAATTGCATGAGGAAGCTTCCTGGATTTTCTTTAACCTCATCAAATTTTTCCACCTCCCATCTGCTAGTATGTCACTGCAGCTTATTGAACAGGGCTAGCCCCATCAGGGGAATGACAGTCCTGCCCCTGCAGGCAGGGATCCTCACTGGCCATAAACTCTGCAAATGCAGCTACAGCACACCTTAACGTAAGAAACCCACCTACACTCCTGGATGAAAGAAATTTGACCTAAAACAAGGCAAGATTTACAGAAACTAGAATTATTTTTCACAGATCTTAATTATGTAAGAAGAGTCAGAAAGCCAGTTTAATGAAAGTCTGTTCAGCCACAGGCATCTGCATAGGGCTCCAGATCAGTCAGTACAAAGGCAGCAATACACAGGCGCAAAGTTACCACCACACAAAAAACTCAAACCTAAAGCCATAGGCACAGTTTCTGCAAGAAAAGCAGTACATAGGCAAGAGCATAAACCTGGTTTAAAATCTTCAATGCCTCTGGCCGATTCTTGAAACCACATCAGCATGCATATTCTATAAGGCTTCCTTTTTGACTGAATTAAAAAGGGGCAAATACGAGTATACGACACTGAGGAACCTCACCAGCAGCACTCTTTTTCCTCCTACCAGCACACTCGTGTATCCAAGACCAGGTAGGCAGATCCCCAGACAGTTAGCATTAGTAAATTATTTTGAGTTCACCAACCTGCAAAAGCTCTGGCCTCATCTGTAGGAACTGCTCTCAGGTGGCGCAAGTCACTCTTGTTTCCCACAAGCATGATTACAATATTGCTGTCAGCATGATCTCTCAGCTCTTTCAACCATCGCTCTACATTCTCGTAAGTAAGGTGCTTCGCAATGTCATACACCAATAATGCCCCTACAGCTCCACGATAGTACCTGTGGGTGAAGAGACATGTTAGAGAACCAACAGGGAACACCATGATTAGAAGTGGCAAGGTACAGTGCAATAATGGGAAATAGCTCTAAGACAGCTGTACAAAAAATACCCAAAAGCAAGCTACATGGGTCTTGGAGCAGTGAAGTAGAGCATCCAGACTGGGGTTGTGCTATAGGGCCACCAGAGCAGGCAGGACAGCTCAGTCTAGGGGGTAAGCCAAACCCCATGCTTGTGGGGAGAACTCTGCATCCCAAAAATGAAGCTCTGGAAATCTGTGGGGAGCTACTGTCACCTTCAACCTCTGATCCAGTCCTGAAAAGTCACCCCCACCCATCACTGTGGGTGCAGTATGGGCACAGCCCATAGTGACAGACTTTAGAATGAGTCACTGGATCATAAAAATGTCAACCTGATCTATTCCCTTTACAAAAGGCCACAGCTGGTCTCCTTTGAGACCAGAGGGAGGCACAGTAATGCATTCAAAAAGAAACAGGCTGCATTCTCCCACCCCACAATTACCTCCAGCTTTACTTAAACCCAGCTTTCGCTATGCTGTTTTTTCAAATTAAATAAGCAAAGTGAGCAGTCTTTCCTTACTGCTACGGTAGGGCTTCTTTTTTTAGGTTACCACTGTTAAACCTCCATGAACACAGATATTACTTTATCAATTGCTTGCATTTAAATGAGTCTCTCAAAGCTCTGGAATTCTAGGCTTGAAATGCCTCCAGTTACATATAACAAGAACACTGAGAATTAAATCAGTTTGCGCAGGGACACACTATATTATTCAGCCCAGAAACTTGATATTTAAGCTTCCTTCCCCCATAGGTTGTGGATATTACACGACAAAAAACAAACATCCCCTGTTTGCAGTTTCTGAGGAATCGGAACAGCCCAAAATTACCCTCCTCAGCAGAAGTTTCTCTTCAGCCATATAAGCTATCACTTACGCTGATGTTATAGCTCGGTATCGCTCCTGCCCTGCTGTGTCCCATATCTGAGCCTTTATTGTCTTCCCATCAACTTGAATGCTTCTTGTTGCAAACTCTACTCCAATGGTGCTTTTGCTTTCCAAGTTAAATTCATTGCGAGTGAATCGAGACAAAAGGTTACTCTTGCCTACACCAGAGTCTCCAATAAGTACAACTACAAGACAAAAATGATACGAGAATCAGATTCCAGATGTAGATAATACATTGACAATCAATAAACATTTATTTTCCCGGATGAAGCACGAAGGGAAAGAATGGCAAAACCACCACCCTTGTCACAAGCCTACTGTTCAAGTCTTAATATTTCTAGAGAACCAGAGCTGCCACATTCACCGGCATTTCGAACAGACATTAGACTCGACTTCTTACATTTCAGTCATCTTTGCCCAACATGGAAGAACATTCCACCTCCAGGAAGAATATACACAGCTGTTGCTGTGAAAGTCAGGGACAGTTTGGATTTCACATCCTTGTAACAACACTAAAATTAAAAAAAAACCCAAACAACCAAACCCCAAACAAAACAAAAACCCCACACCACACAACTGATACCTGTTTTGCTGTAGTCCAAAACGCAGGGCAGGCAGCAGGCTCTGCCTGCATTTTATTTTACACTCTTCACACCTTTGCAGAAGAGAGGTTCCCCACTGGGGCAGAAAAAAATGTGAACAAACCAAACAAAAAACCCCACAGGGCCACCATCACCCCGATGGACTGTTTAAAAGTGTTAGCTGAGCCACAGCACTCTGCCCTTCCACAGTCCCTCACTGCTGCTGTGACTCCTGGCCATTTTAGGCCAGAGCCTTAAACCGCTCTAAACCACTGCCAGGATATCGTGGGGCCTTGGAATTAGAACTGCCACCCACTCCCCCTTCCCTGGCTCAGCCTGACTCATCACAGCACCAGTGCCAAGCAAACTAATTGGAAGGATTCAGCTATGCTTGACAAGAGATTGACAGAAGGTTTGAAGTCCAGTTCCTACAAGAAGAAAAGCGTCACGAGGATTTGCTGCAATATCCTGTAATGCTGAGTTGAAAGGTGCAAGTTTAAATGTAACTTAAAACTCGCTACCAAGATGCAGGCCACCAGATGAAACATGTACACAACCCTGAGTCGCACCAATAGGAGCCTCTCAGGATGATCTTATGCCCTTAACGAAGATAAGGTACCAAACTGGAAACAGAAGGAAATGGAGGAAGAAGGGGATGAGTAAGATCCTTGAGAAGAGTGGCTAATAACCTTAAAGTTCAGCAGTGAATCAAGGCCAGTCAAAGCAAAAGAGTGCACGCTCAGGTGACCAAAAAAAAAGTGTTGTGGCTATGCTTGTTTTGAAGGGGAAAAAAACCCAACCAGAAATACTTGCTCAGTAACATATATCCTTTAACAGTTAAGACACTGCAAGACAGTGTTAAAGATTGTGTGGTACAACAGAGGAGTGAGTGCACCAAACACACTCAATCACATCGGAAACCCCCCACTGAGTCTTAGTCTAGCAGCGCAAATACTCCCATCTGCTGCTGCACCACACAGCAGCCCTCTGAACACCATCTTCTATTTAAATAATGCAAAACAATCCTGACAAATGGGATTTTCTCTGACTGCAAGGGCAGAGCAGCACCTTTTAACCACCCTTCATAAAATGAAAACAGCAGCAAATGCTAGCTTCGAACATGGCCTTGTAGAGAATACTTCATCAAAATAAACATCTTTTCAGCTTCCTCTGCCAGCTGACTCAGCGCGCAGCCAGCCAAGCTACAGAAGTTGCATAAAGCAGAGTGGCTGTTAACCACTTCTGTTTACGAAGATCACAAGCGCAGGTAGGTGGCAAGTAGGTATGCTGAATGCAAACAGGATTCTGCTTTCCTACGTGACAGGTCAGCACTGTTCGGCATCGGTTGCCCTGACACAGCTGAACAGCTTTGCTGGCACAGACGATGGTAACCCGTAATAAACTTAGTGCAGGGGACAGGGCACCCAATTGCATCATCGCCACCTGGCAAACGGCCATAGCTTTCCTCTTTCACTGGCAAATAAGCTCTTCAATACTATTTTGGCAGGTTTAGGCCACAGTTTTAGATGACTTCATATTTGTATTCACTGGGACGTGCTACAAACGAGTTCCTAGGAGGCAAAAGTCATCAACTCCCTTCACACACCTCAGTCCTGCTATCACCCAGCATTAGCTTTGGCAGCGGCCGAAGACTTCTCTAAACAAGGAAATCAATCTACACACATAATTTCCTCTTCCTAACAGCATACATCATATACCTGTTTAAGTACTCCTCTGAAACATACTTTTGTTGTTCAGTACATATTTCAGAGCACAGCTTCAAGTCATTTAACAACAGACCGAGCATTTTAATTCCTCTGCCAGGTTTTTTCCCTTACCTTGTCTGAATCCCATGCTGCTTATGTTCTGAATGCTTTCCAGCACCAGATTAATATGTCCCACTTAAAATGTGAAAATATTAGACTTTCCTCCTTGAAGTCAGCTATTTCCTCTACTTAATTGGGCCACTGCAGCTCCTCTTGAACACGGACACAAGAACAGCTTGCAATGTCAGCAGGCGCCTAAAACTCCTCACACTTTCTGCATTTCTGCCAGTCTGAACAAGTATCACTCTTTGAATACAATTATGAACTGAAACAGTTTTAACAGCCACTCAGACTGTATTATTAATTTTGCTTTCCTCATCAAATCACCTCATTTTGATACTTTATAGTACAAAACGTTCCCCTGTAGTATATTCTTAGCATAGAAATACAGTAGGAATGACCGTGGATGGCCAGCTCCCATTGCAGGGGACAGTCATCCCAGGCAAACAGTTTCTGCAAGGGAAGTGACACTATCTAGTTCCATGGTAAAGCTAATTGCTCCTGCACACACACTTTTATCAGGCTTTTCTTCCAGAAACTGACTCCTAATGGGTAGAAATTGCTTTCTAATTTTCAGAAGAAATTAGCGGTCAGCTGATGGTGGTGTTCATGTGCCAGCATTGTCCATTAGCTTATTAGTTTCTTTTCCCAGTGGTGTTTATGCTGGGGTACTTACAGAAAGCAACCACATCTTCTCTCAGTTTTGTTCTACTAACTAAATAAGCCAACCTCTCAAATGTTTCTTTATAAACACACTGTTCATTTCCCCACACATCTTCCCTAGGAGTTTTTCATTTTCTTTTCCATACAGTGAGAACCGTACACATCATTCTAGGCAGGATCTCCCTGTGATGCATACACGGACTTTAGTATTTCTGTCTCTACTAGGCTCTCCTTGAGCTGGAATTGTCTTTTCCTGACCATATCACCTTGATGGCTCAGCCTGCCTGTGGTCAGACCTAACTGTTCTAGCTTTTAGTTGGCAAGCTCTTTACCAAATTCCTATGAGGCCCCAGGTGTAAAACCTTACATTCCGAATCCCGCTCCATTTGGAGGACAGCAGTCCTCAACAGCACGCTGCCCTTCCAGTGCCACACTCCGACTTTCTGCTGTTCCACCCACCTTCATTTCATCAGCAAATTCCTTTACTACATCAGCACTGGAAGGAGGAACATCTGGAGAAAACATTTATGCAAGTTCAGCCACAAGATCTATTCTTAAAAACCTCCATCAATAACTTTGTTTGGACCAGCACTTCCCTTACAGAGCAGCACCTTAGAGAGCTTTTGCTATCAGGGGAGATTTGTATCAACAAATCCTGAAAGTCATGAAAGTGATCTCCCTGCCCCAGGTGACTACTAGGCAGGTCATTCTTACTGACTTAGTGATGTGCCAGCTCAATACTTGCAACCATGTGGTTTAAATCAATGCATTTGACTATCTACAGCATTTACCACCCCAAAGGTTTAAGACAAGCATTTGGTGGAGAGGAGAAAAGGAAAAAAAAAAAAAAAAGAGTGTGAAGTCCAGGCTACTGTATAAATTTAATTCTGTAATTCCAGTTTTATTTCTGTAGAAGACCAAAATAAGAATTCAATTTCCTAAGTTACATGAAAAGCAATTTAGAGAACTACATCAAGAAAGGATTATTAATTTTTCACCAACATTCCAGTTCACTCACCCAATTTTTATTTCTGTTAAACCTCTAACTTAATTTAAATTTTCAGAAAATACTTTAATTATCTCATGAAATATGTTATTGACAACCTAATCAGGTTGAAAACAGAAAGTCTAGCACCACTAGCTTGTACTGTCTATGGTAAAAGTTATCACACAAGTTGCATATTCCACAATTTAAAACAAGTACACCAGCACTAAGGGATTACAGTGTCTGAAAACACTTGTCTCTGCATGGGGCTCTGCTATTAAGAGGCATATAAATAAAGAGCCTGGACACATCTTCATGATCCCCAGAAGAACCTGCTAACTAACACCTCTTCCTGCCGACTTCAGTTGGAGTTTAAAGGACATATGAATAAGATGACCTGATTCTACACCTTGTAGATAGCAGGTGATAAACCTATCATGATCATGTCTTGTATCAATCTCCTTCCTTACCTGTGCCCGGTTTTATTCACTCCTTTCCTGTCACGCAGAGAACTGATATCTCAAAAGCACTTTTGGGTAGGGGTCGTTTGTTACCTGTACATAGTATACAGAACGCAGAGCTGGGCCTCCAAATGCCTCCATAGGAAAAAGGCTAAGCCGAAATGTTTATTACTGCACAAAAGTACCTCCAGATCTAATGCAGTGAAGGCACAGGGCATTGTAAGAAGCAATAGGTGTCGCGCAACCACTTTTCCTTACAAATTTCTCTAAACAAAACACACAAAGAAAAATAGGTTTTCTAAAGCCCAAACCAACAGCTCTGCTCAGTTTCAGAGCATTTCCTCAATATCAAAAGGGAAAAGTTGGAGAAATGAACGTGATGCAAAGTAGGAAGCAGATAGAACCGGAGTTTTTCCTAACAATAAGCTGAATGTCACTGCAAGTCAAGTCCACATTCAGAAATGAGAAGTCTGACCCCAAATACAGAGTTCCAGATGGTCAAGGAGCAGACATAATCCTCTCAGGCTTTGTCCATGGAAAACACCTAAGGCATCAAAGTAACCCTCACTTGTAGAAGATAACTACTCATCTACTGCAGGTACATCACTTTAATCAAAAAGAGTAAAAAGTTCCTGCATTTAAGCCAGACTTAATTTATTAAGTAATAAAGTAATATCCTTATATCACCATTACTTTTTTCCTCCCATTAAAATTAGAGCAAGATTTCTACAAACTGGACTCCACAGATCTTGTGTTTCCCCAGGTGCAGTGCTGGGAACAGCAGGCGCTGCTCTCAAGCCATAAAGTATGGAAGAATACAAAGATATGTAACTGGTTAAGAAGAATTTACTAGAAATTGTCTTTTTTAGGCTTTAGCATATGCTGAAGTGATGCAAAAGAGTCAGGAGAGGAGTATTTTGTAACAGGTGCTGTGACTTAATTGTACAGCAGCATAGGTGGGCTCAGCTTATACCCACCAGCAAAGTCAGCCAGACCGGCGTACAGCTGCTGTCAGTGACTGACAGTACAAAACCAGAGGTCTCACAGTTTAACTCGAGTAGTAAAACACAGCTAGCCTAGAGAATATCACCCAATTTTTTTAAACCACATCAAACTCTGAACTCAGTCCCACCAACCTACCATGTCCCTTCAAGTTCATAAACCCAGAAGAACTGTCCTACTGGATTAAGTGTCCTTACAGACCAACACCCAGTCTGACTGTCAAGAACTGATGTCTGAAAAACATTACGTGTAACAGAACAAACACGCTAATCTTTGTCCTAGCAAGCCCTTGCATCTTCAAACAAGCAATGCCTTCAGACTTGCCATTGGAATCACACTGAAACACCCCAACAGACATTTTTTTCCCCCTCTATAAATTCATGCAGTCTTTCAAACCCATTTACAGTATTTATGGCAATGCACCACTCCAAAATTTGCGTACACATTCTGTGAGACTTTACGCGCTTTTGTTTTCACCTGCTGCTCCATTAAAGAAGCACTACAGATATCCAGAAAAATTACAACAAACAGTACTTTGCCTATTTGGCCATATCCCTCATTGTTTTAATTTGGATAAAGTTATACATCCCTTCAGTATAAGGGATATGAATCCATTTGGTCTCTGTTCTGATTATTTTGATGTGCTTCATCTTTTTTTATTCTATAATATCCCTTTCAAAATGTGTATGCCCCTCCTGCCTACATTTCCCCTCAATCCCCAAGATGCTCATGTCTCAGATTCAAACACGGGCTTAACGTTCCCCCTGAGTTCTCATTTCCTTTTCCAAGAGTTTTTACCTACCTCTTGCCTTTTTGACCGGTGCCTGGTAATGAGACGTTCATTTCAGAGACCTACTCACAATAATTTCAAGAGCATTCCAGAGCAGTGACAGCTTGTTTAGAACCACCATCACCTTTGGGAAGTTACAAAAGTTTCCACGATTTGTATTACTCTGCATTTGTTATGTTATTTCAGCTGCCACATTAATCCCAGTTATGTGACATTGCATCAACTTCCTGCAGTCTACTTTAGCTTTGCAAAACCTGAATTGCCCATCTTCTCACCACTATTTTCATACCATTCCTTGTGCTCCCAACAGCTTCTATAAACTAGTCTAAACAGATAAAGTTTTAGGAGGCAGAATCAATCAAACTAGCTTTGAACTTTTCTATATAACTGGATCCCAACTTAATTATTTTGCAATTATATAAAGAAGCAGGTCTAATAAAAGACAGGATCTCTCCCAAAAAACTCTGCGTCACTGATATTCCCAGGCCTTCACAGCTAAAACATTAATTATAAGCATACTGACAGAATGGTATGAACAAGTAAGAGTAATGCAATAGTTTTTGATAACTTGTAAACGTAAGTACCTACAATAAGATTGCTCGATGCGATTAAACTGGTGGTCAGCAAGGCCCTTGCCAACGCTGCGGGCTGAGAAAAGAGGCCCTTCTTGGGACTTCCTGATTTGATCTTAATAATGGTATAGATGACTGATTTCTAGTTAGAAATAATGCCAATTTCTACACGGCAATTAGATAAAACAAGCCACAAAAACCCTGTAATTCCTCAAAGTTATCACAGGAGCTTAAGGGTACAGAAGAAAAATGCTGATGTTTTCCTTTACCTAAGTTTCACGACAAGCACTGGGTCTCTCATCATCACAACGTAACAAGCAATGCTCTAAATCCTAAATTCAAGTTTACAATACCATATAGCAAGAAACAACTATTTTTTACAACGCTTTTCTTGCTTTTGTAGTAGGATTTAAAAAATTGGATAGTTCACTTCAAAACATCAGCATTTCTGTAGATGTTTCACAGCATGCTTTGTGAACCTTTACAGCAGGCTGATATTTAACTCTGTGGGGAGTGAAAACTGAGTACTTAACTACAACCTGCAACATTTTAACTCAAATTGCTGCTGTGTGGGAGACTGGGGGGGCATCAGTCCTGGAAAACAAGATATTCCTGCCCTTCTCTGCTGGGTGCCCTATGAGGTGCCAGGCCAGGATGCGAGATCACTGGTGCAAAACCGCAGTCACATTCACCCCTCGTGAAAGGCTAAGAATATAGAAGGCAGCAAATAATACTAAATTAGCTGCATCATTTACCAGCCCTGAGCATATAACTCATTTACTTTACAGTCCTATTTAATAGCTGGAAAAGGAAGTAGTCCTTATCAACCTTGGGCATCCTCACCAATGATCTTTGCTCGCCATCCCAGCAGGCTGGCCGTCGCCTCAGCCTGTTCACGGAGCAGAAGCCTTGCCCAAGACACGCCAGGTCACCACTAGGGAAACCGGCCCAAATCTGACACTTTGGGGTGAGGGCGCGACCAGCTCCCGCAGCGCTCCGGGGCAGGCAGCGACGCCCAACGCACCCCCGGCCATCAAGCTCCAGAAACATCCGAGCAGGGGGAAGCGCAGCCCCCCTCCTGCACAGGCAAAGCCCACACGGGGCTGGCCGGAG